CTATGAACTTTGGTGAGATCTTTCAACCGATGTTCCTGTCCAAAACACACATGGGGCCGAGCGCTGTCCCCCCAACTCCTCTGCCAATCCAAGCAGCCCTGGAAAGAGCTCCATGCACTCGAGTTGACCGTCCACAGCCTCCACAGCTGCTGCTCCCGCTGTGGCCGTGCCGCCTTGCTAAAGCCCCTGCCTGCGGCGCTTGACCCCAAGGGCCTCCTGGGCTTGCAGAAGCTGCCGCTTGGCGTCCGCCTGGGCTTCGGCACCTTCAGCAGCTCGCAGGGCCTCTGCGGCGGCTCGGAACGCCTCCGCTCGAGCTTCGAAGTCGCCCCCGTTGAGCTGCTCCATGTCGATGTCGTCATCTCCCGCGGCCACATCGCCGCCAGGAGGCTCAGCAGCAGCAGGAGGATGATCGGGCCCCCCTTGCGAGGGCCGCCCGATCTTCGCGAGGATGATCGGCTTGAGTATCTCCCACTTATCCGACCCGAGGAATGCCTGAACATCAGGATCCTGTGTCTCCTCCGGCTTGATCTCCAGCTTGAACGTGTCCGACGGCTTCGGCTCCCCGTCTGACTGCGCAATGAGAGCAGCCGTCCTCTTGTACTCCTCGTCGAGCTTGTCGATCTCGAGCTTCTTCGCCTCCAACTGCAGCCTGCGCTCGTCCATGGACTCTTGCAGCTTCTGCACCTGCGAGGTCTTCTCCGCGATCTCGGCCTCCATCTTTGCACGGGCCAAGCGGGCCTTGTGCAAGTCCTGGGCCGTCCTGCGATGTGCAATCGCAGGCGTGCGCAGCGCCTTCTGCTGCTCCCTGATGCACTTGATCTTCTCGATCGTCGCTGCACGGATGGGGTCTGCGTCGGGCCCAGGAAGACTCTTGAGCACCGTCTCGTACTGCCCCAGCAGCGCAGTGAGCTTCTCTCGCTTGACCTTCTCATCGTCCGACTCGAGCAGCGGGCCCATGTCCGACGACGGCTTGGAACCCTGGGCCCACGGAGCCACTGTCGGGCTGGCAGCAGGCGGCGGCTCCCCCTTGCTGCAGAACGACCTGATGAGCTTCTCCATCTCCGCGAGCCTCTTGCTGGTGTCATCCTTGCCTTTGCTCTTCGAAGGAGGCGCCCCCGACTGACCAGCAGGCAAGGCAGCTGTCGCCGCCTTGTGGGCCTTCCAGGCCTCGTTCCTGATCCGAAGCGGCGCCTCATTCCCACACTGACAACGAATGCGAGATGCCCAGTTCGCCGCCGTTGAGCACCTCCCGCACGCCCAGAAGGGCCGCCGCGGCCCACGGAGCACCGTGGGTGGGGGCGGCGGCTCGGGCGCCATCGCTGCACCTTCCTCGTTATGAAATTCTGCGCTCTCTTGGAGCGACTCACGATCAGCCAAGTTGGCTCGCTGCAGCGGCGCCGTTCTGAAGACAGCTGCAGCAAGCCCAAACACCTGGGCCAGAACGGCTAGATTGAGGAGGAGGAGGAGGAGGAGGAGGAGGAGGAGGAGGAGGAGGAGGAGGACGAGCAGGAGAGGAGGAGGAAAGGGAGGAGATTGTCGGATGGGGGCAGGGCAGGAGGGATCTGCGGCAGGGAGCGTCTGCGCGGCGCGCAGGGGCTCTTTTTGTGGGGCTGAGCGCGGGGACCCACTGCGCCCCTTTAGTGCGAGGCGGGGATTCATGCATATCCACCGCCTGGGAACCAACGCCCTGGGAACCCAACAGGCGGTGGATATGGATACATTTAGGCCCCTAAGGGCCCAATCGATCCTCCAAGCGGTGGTTCTGGATAAACCCCCGCCTCGGATTTCGGCTCCGAACAAGGTGGGCCCAAACTGATCCGAATCCGCGGCGGGCGAGGGGGGGGGCGGGAATTGAGAAGGGGTGGGCCTTCTCAGAAGGCTCGGAAGTCTCCTTGTGTTCTAAGACGTGCTCTCAGCCTTCCTCGAAGACACAGAAAGTTTCTCCTAAGGCGCGAGGTCTTCTGAGAAGGCCCATCCCTTCTCGCTTCCCAGGTGGCTCCAAATGCCAAGGACGTCTCCCTCGGACACCCCTCAGGAGCAAATCGTTGAACATCGTGCACTTCTGAATCAATGTGTGTCTTCTCGCCTTTTCTCGCTCCGATGGACCTCCAAGCCGTGAAATACCCTCGAGAAACCCCAACTGGAGGACGGCCTAAGGAGGCTCCAAGTAGGCAATTGGGTTCAGAGTTGGGTCTCTGCGCATCTCTGGCATGTCCGCAAGAGGAGTGGAGACACATCCACACAAGAGGGGCCAAGAACCGTCGAAGAGAACCGCCACAAATGCCCAATAGGTCCATACGGGAAGGAGAAGGGGAATGCACATGAGGAGGAGGATGAGGAGGGGAAGGGAAGGAGGAGGACTCAAAGAGCCGCCAGAAGCCCCCCGAAGGGTACCGGTACCCAGAGGGGGCTCCAGTAGCGGCCCCAGCACTGGCTTCCCACAACCGAAGAACCTTATCCCCACGACACGTGTTGCCACCGATGCATCCAGAAATGAGTTCCCTGTGACGCGGGGTTCGCAAGAGGGTGGACGGGGACACTATTTACCACTCGTCCACTTCCTGATCACACGACCGCCCAGCAAACTGTATAACAAATGTTACACTGCGTGCCGACGAAACAAAGAAGGGACGGTGGCGTAGCACGATGCGGTACCACTGCGCGCGCCCCCCTGCGGGTTGGTAGCGTAGAGTGAGAACACCAGCCACGCGCGCTCGGGCAACCAGCGGCGGGCTCCGCGTTTTCCTCCTCTGAGTGAATTAGTCTCGCCAAGGGCCCACGTGCAGCTGCGGCTGGGCAAATGTCCTGACGGAGGTAAAAGTGGGAGACATGAAGGACACAGCAGAGCAGGCATGGAACGGCAACAACAAACCACAACGAGACATAGGGAAGGAGGGAACTGAAAGAGAGAGAGAGAGAGAGAAAGAGAGATGTAATCACACCGGATCCTTTTTTTTATCTCGATGCGGGAAGACGGGAGAGTGAGAGAGAGATATTGACGCACAAACCCAAAGGGAGGAAGAGAGCGAAAGAGAGAGAGAGAGAAAGCTAACAAACATATAGAGAGATAGCACACATCACAACCATGTGCCTACATACGTATATCTATGGTGTATGGATCGGTGTGTAAATGCATATGCTGATGTCTACGTGGGTATACGTGAAGGGAGAGGAAAGGGTTGTAACGGGAGAGAGAGAGAGGGGATCAAACAACAGGAGAAGCGTTATGAAAGGAGGAAGGAAGGGAACGGGGGAGGGGGAGAAAGAGAAAGAGAGAGAGAGAGAGAGCGAGGGAGAGACACAAATAGAGAGAGAGAGAGATGCTCACACACGGGCATCACTCTCTCTCTAACTATATACACATGCACTTACACGTGTGCAGACAAGTGACGGGGGGATGCAAAGGGATACAGACGAAGGACGAAACCAACGGGCAGAGACTAGGATAACGAGAGACATGCACATCTGGTAAGATGTAGTTCACTCTATGTACAATTAGGAACGTGTATAACACATATTCTTACATACTCATTCGAAGTGTGTCTATATATATACAAATGTTTACATGTACATGCACATATTATCATGTGCGTATCTACGTGTCTATACATAATGGCACCCATACGTAGACAAATATGCGAGTATAAACGCTTGCAAACCATACGTACGTATGCGCGCGTGTACGCACAATATACACAACGATATGCACACGTCTACATATAACATTGGCGCCTACGCATACAAATCCCAACTCACCAACCCCAAACGTCATTGCAAGATCCGTGCAGATGGCCTCCCGTGGTCCGCCGAACCTCACATTCTGGTACAATCTGGCCTCCCCACGTTTTCCGGGCCCTCATGGAGGGGCCCTTGCTGGGCACTTCGTACAAGCGAAAACCGTCCCACAGCGTCCCAAAGAGACCCCGACAGTGGGTCAGAGAGCGGCCGCGACGGTCCCAAACTGACCCGCAGCGCGGCAACGGCACCGCGCACGACTGCGGCGCGGCCTGCGGGCGGCCACTCTTCCGCATCCTGGGGACATTGCAGGGCACGGCACGGCAGCGGCGTGGCGCGCGGGCGATGAACTTTTTTCTCGCACTCTGGAAACTTAAGAGGCAACTGCTGGGAGGTCGTCGTCGGAAAGGTTAGGGAGAATTGAGCCCCATTGGGGGGCTGCTACGCCGCAGTAGGCCGCGGATCAGACCGGATTGGGCGGGATTGGGCCAGATTGCAGTAGGGACTCGACCACAAGAAACCTTCCACAAGCAAACCAACCCTGAGACCCAAGGATGTGCATTGGTGTTCGCTGTGCGAGCGTCACGCTGTCCATCGAGACCCAAGAAACCTAGGGCACCCCGGAGGCAAGCAGGGTGTTTATTGGCATGGGCCTCCACTGTATTGCCTGCATTGGCCCCAGACCCCCGACGTCGTGTTTTTTTACCGCGTGGGCCCCCAAAAGTCTCGACCCATTCCCCAGAGCCGTTTTGTCTCGTCCTGCGTAATTTTGGAGGTCCCAACGCCTGGCGAGAGCCCCCGAGAGGCCGAAAATGGAAAAACAACCCCTGCCGTCTTTTCGTTTGTCGCTACGCAAGGGGAAATTGTTCTGGACCTCGGGCCAGGGCAACGTCAGAGACGTGGACCCCCGCAGGAGTCGCACGCGAACGTTCTGGAAACCGCGTGCGGCGCGGCGCGGCGCGGCGTGCAGGCGGACCCTCTCTTCCGCGCCCCACATGGCAGAAATGATGTGCCCATCTTCCACCACCGCCACCATGTGAAGGAGGGGGAGGAGAAGGAGGAGGACGAGGAGGAGGAGGAGGAGGAGGAGGAGGAGGAGGAGGAGAAGGAGGAGGCGGAGGCGGAGGCGGAGGCGGAGGAGGAGGCGGAGGCGACGGAGGAGGCGGAGGCGACGGAGGAGGAGGATGAGGATGAGGAGGAGGGGGAGGAAGGAGGGGGAGGAGGAGGAGGAGGAGGAGGAGGAGGAGCTCCTCATCCTACATGTGGTAGTGGTGGTGGTGGTGGAAAGTTGGCCCATCAAAAAAGCGCGGCGCGGCGCGGCAGTGGTTGCGGCGCGGCGCGACAAGGCGAGGCACTCTCGGGCTGCGCATTCCAGGCGCTCCGGGTGCCAAACTAGCGTTGGATCTCCTTACGCCGTCCCCCTCGTGGGGGGGGGGGAGAACGGCGCCCCAGAGGAGGGACCAAAGGTGGCGGCGCCGCTGCTACCCCAGGGAAGTCGGAGGTAGAGCAGAGCAGGAAGAGGAGTAAGAGGCGGAGGGGGGACCATCATCACCAGGCAAAGACGCTGATCATCATCAACATCTGCTTCTTCTATTCCTCTGGCAAGGACTGGAGTTGATCTTCACATTCATCTTCAACTTGCTCTCTGGCTTGGTTTCCTTCGGGATTTGCCACGATTATCTTTAATTATGTTACCCCTTGGGCCGTTGCCTGTTCAGGTAATAACTGGGCAACGGCTCTAACGCAGCAGCTAGATGCAGTTGCCTTGGACTATGGTGTCTTGGGGGACCCACGCAAGGGACATGTTGGACCCCCCTCGCTGCCAACCACAGTATCCCTCAACGACAAGGGCCACGACTTGCACTGATTTTTGGGGCGTCCTGGAGCCATCTTGGGCCGTCGTTGGGCTCTCCCAGACTTTGTGGGTGCCGTTTCTTTTTTTGGGCGTCGGACATCCAGCACGAGCTGAAGTCGAAATGAAGTTGAAGACTGAGTAGAGCTTCAACAGTACAATGAAGGAAACCGATTGCGAACATTGGGCATCATATGCAGATCTAACGGCTCAAATAATTCTCTTCATTGCGTATCGTTCTCGGCTGTCTGGTCGTCATTCGATTTGGCAGAGCAGCTCCCGGACCCTCACTGGCGGAGAGCATGAGAGACTTCTTCATGCCCTGAACGTCCTCTACAAACTCGGCTGACAACATCTCTAGCTGCGCCCTCTGGGCTCTGAAGGGCTCCTCAATCTGCGCAGCGACGTCCTCGAGACTTAGAAACATAAACGAGATGAAGAACATGGCTGCTGGCACGACTACCTGAGCCTTTCCGTCCCACCAGGACCCCTCACCAAAGCTCGAGAAACTACGAACCAAAGCAAACGGCAGCAGTGTCAACCACAAGAAGAGGAAGCGAGTCGTCGCTCGGGTGTATCCCAAAGGGATCGGGGTGCGGATGAGGTACTCACACTTGGAAAGGGTGTCGGACACTTGGGAGAGTTCCTCGTCCAGGCGATTCTTCTGCAGATCGTTGAGGGTCGTCATGCTATAGAGCTGCTCAACTACAGCAAGCTCCGCAATTGCTGGAGTCAACGGCCGCCCTGTGCCGATGGGAAGTCCGAATGCATTTTGAAAAACCTCAGAAGTTGCTGTGGCCCGAACGCCGTTAGGCTGCAAGTATGAAGCAAAGATCCACTGGTGGTAAAGCGCCAACATGTTGGACGTCTCGTCTACCTCCTCGGTCACACACGGCACCGACCTGTAACTCCAAGTCAAAAGCCTGCACGCAACCCCCCGCATCCGCGACGTCAACTGCTGAACCAACTCACCGCCAGCTTTATACCGAGCATAAGAGCTCTCCGTACGGAAGACTAAGAGCAAGCCGACCAGCGGCGCGGTAAGGTCGAACGGGTTCATGGGCAACACCAACTCTGGGAGCGTAGGATCTTTTGTGGCCAGAGAGTTATATTCGTTCAGGAGGACAGAGAACACGCAGAGCAGTAAGACGATGGGCGCCACACGGCGGGTTGTGGCCGACACAGCGGCAGACGTCAAATTGCTGCCGTAGCGCACCGGGGATGAATGCCGAGTCCATGCCTTGTACGCCCCTTCCCGATGCTCCGAGAAAAAGCTGCCCTCTCCAACGCCAACGCCCTGGGAGGCCGACTCGGCAACCGCGGCGTCCACGTTCTCCCAGACACGGCGTCTGCATCTCCTCATCCTCGCGCAGCCCAGCAACACGAGAGCCGCGGTGCCCCTGCTGACGGGCCAGGCAGGGCAAGCCAGCGGCGTCAGGCGGGCCGCCATCCGCTCCACCGTCGGCCTTCTGCCAGCAGACGGGCGCCGGACGCGGCCCCGCTGGGCCAGCCCTGGTGCCAGTGGCTGCGCCCCCGCCACTGGCGGCGATCGTAGACTCGCCATCGCCGCCGAGGTCATGGCCGGGCTGCAGGGGCGGAGTCTCCAGCAGAGAGACTTCGTCTGGAGCGCAGCGGCTTGAGCCAACAACTACGGTTGGGTGCCGGTTTCCTCGGCGCGTCTATGTATCCAACGGCTGCGTCTTCAACCTCAAGCGAAGCTAAGCAAGTCATGAAATCTTGTGCCTTCAGAAACAGAAGGAACGAAATGGATGACAGGTGATGGATGAGGGCAGGGGGTGAACGAAACAACGAAGAGGGCAGATGTCGAACTATGGGGATCGTGATCTGCCGACCCCCGCTTGCTTGCCAAGGGTGAAAGGGCGTGTGAGGCATTTGGCTGGCCCCCTCCACCTTTCCCCCTCCACTGGAATCCAAAATGCCGTTTTGGGGGGGGGTACGAGCTCGCCAACGCACCCCCCAGGCCTCTGGAGCCTGCACCAACCCTCAAAAAAGGCCCAGACAGAGCGCCACGACAGTCGAAGAGAGCGCCGAGACGGCCCAGAGTAGCCCCACAACGACCCATGATGGCTTCAAGATGGTCCACGAGGCTCCCAAGATGACCTAAAAGTGTTCCCAGAGGATTACCGAGAAGACATCAATAGGCAAAGCTCGTCTCATTACCTTTGGGAAGCGTATGGCTTAAGCGCACGCGCCTTTGTCTTGACAGTTTCTGAGACTGCCCAAATGACCCCCAAGGTCGCCACAAGACGGCGGACGCTGCCCCCCGAGAGGGCCCCAAGATGGCCTTTCCCCCCAAGATGCTCCAAACGCCCCCCAAGGCACCCCCAAGAGGCCTCCAAGACGCCCTCAAGCCCCCAAGAGACCCCAAGAGGCCCCCCCAAAGCGTCCCATATGGACCTAAGAGCCCTCCAAGAGGCCCCTGATAGGCATTCCAAGAAACCCTCACATTCACCCAGGAGGCTCCAGACCCACAGCCCAGCCACGGTTGCTGGTTGGGCCGACGGCCACTAAAGAATTCTCACGATCGTCACAAACTCTGACTCCTTCTGGGGATGACTTAAGCTATTTGAAAAATGATAACCTGCCCGAGCACGAAAACTGTAAAGGAATTCGTGAGATCAGACGTCGATCTGCTCAATCATCTTGCGAATCTGGAAAGAAATGCGAGACAACGTCCAGAAAGAACAATGCAACCCGTTCTCTGTTCATTCAACCCTGCCTCGCACTCTCCACCGTCTCATCGGCCTTCTCATGCTCCATCCACTCTGATTCTTCTCCCGTGCTCCCTCCTCGTCTGGCTCCCTCATCCGTTCTTCCTCTTCCCCAAGGGGGACCACCACCTGCTCCTCCCCCTCCTCCTCCTCCTCCTCCTCCTCCTCCTCCTCCTCCTCCTGCTCCATCCCCTGCTGCTCCTCGTCTCTCCCTTCCTCCTCCTCTGCCACCTCCTCCTTCTCCGCCTCCTCTCACTCCTGCGTCACACTTTTCCTCACTCCCACTCCTCCGTCACACTTGTCCACACCTCCTGCTCCTCCTCCTGCTCCTCCTCCTCGTCCTCCTACCATCATCCTACTTACCCATTCCCCCCCTTCATCTGCCCCACCTTCTTCTCCCCCAACGCACTCCTCCTCATCATTTTCCTCTGGCTGCAGCTCCCTTCCCTCCCGCTCATTCCCCTTCTTCTCCGCCTCCTTCCCCTGCCCGTCGTCGTCGTCCTCCTCCTCCTCCCGCCGGATTTCTGGTGCGCCATAACCAACATCCAAGATGCTCCTCATCCTCCGCCTTCCGTCGTCGATATCCCCTCCCCTCCCGCTCCTCCTCCCCCTCCCCTGCCCTTCCCGTCCGCCCCCTCCTCCTCGGGAAACGCACAACACGTAAACACCAGCTCTCTGATGTCCGAGCGGATGTCTTGGATCGGCACTGGGCCCCCCTCCCTGGAGCGCGACGTGCGCCAGGGGAGGCGCCGCCAGGGAGAGGCCCGGCGCCGATCCAAGACATCCTGAGACATCCGCGCGGCCCTCCGAGCGTTTATGCTCAGGTCGCTGTCTTTTCCCCGACTCTCTCCCTCCCCCCTGATATCAGGTCGGGCATGTCCTCCTACAGGCGGACGTTGGATGATAATTTCAGACCCAAAAATACGCAAGCATAGTCAACAATAATCAAAACATCGACCCCATACTATTTGTTTGACTACTTTGAACATCCCTCCTGTAGAAGGATATGTCCGACCGAACCCCTGATCCGTGCAGCATGCGTCCTCAGAACTCGTCGCCCGTGCCGCCCGTGCCGCTGGCGTCGCCGCCGGCCGCACCGCCCGCGTCCTCTGGGCCGCCCCCCATACCCCTGCCCCACCGCACGCCTCTTCCCCGCTCCCGCCGGAGGCATCGCCGAGCCGGGCCGGGCGGTTCTGCTTCTCCGGAGCAGGCCTCCTCCCTCCCTCCCTCACATCTCCCCAGGCCCCCTTCTTCCTCACCTCCTGCTTCTCCTCCTGCTTCTCCTCCTGCTTCCTCCTCCTACTCCTCCTCCTCCTCCTCCTCCTCCTTCTCCTCCTCCTCCTCCACCTCCTCCTCCTCTCCCCTCCTCCTCCTCCTCCTCCTCCTCCTCCTCCTCCTCCTCCTCCTCCTCCTCCTCCTCCTCCTCCTCCTCCTCTCCTCCTCCTCCTCCTCCTCCTCCTCCTCCTCCTCCTCTCCTCCTCCTCCTCCTCCTCCTCCTCCTCCTCCTCCTCCTCCTCCTCCTCCTCCTCCTCCTCCTCCTCCTCCTCCTCCTCCTCCTCCTCCTCCTCCTCCTCCTCCTCCTCCTCCTCCTCCTCCTCCTCCTCCTCCTCCTCCTCTCCTCCTCCTCCTCCTCCTCCTCCTCCTCCTCCTCCTCCTCCTCCTCCTCCTCCTCCTCCTCCTCCTCCTCCTCCTCCTCCTCCTCCTCCTCCTCCTCCTCCTCCTCCTCCTCCTCCTCCTCCTCCTCCTCCTCCTCCTCCTCCTCCTCCTCCTCCTCCTCCTCCTCCTCCTCCTCCTCCTCCTCCTCCTCCTCCTCCTCCTCCTCCTCCTCCTCCCCCCCCCTCCTCCTCCTCCTCCTCCTCCTCCTCCTCCTCCTCCTCCTCCTCCTCTCCTCCTCCTCCTCGTCCTCCTCCGCCCCCCCTCCCCCCATCTCCCCAGACTCCCTCGCGCTGTGACAATTATCCTGGCGAAGGTCCCAACCATATGCAGTTGTGGGTACCGTAATTGTGAATATCTGCGTCGGTGAAGCTCCCTATGGGGCCACGAAAGTCTGCGCTGGGCGGGGGGGAACGCTGTACTGTGTGGGTGGTGTGCCGACTTGGGTTTCTGGGACGCATGCGGACGGTCCCACTGAGGGCTTCGGTGGAGCTCCCTATGGGGCCACGAAGCGCTCTACTGAGTGAGTGAAAATGCCAAATTGGGTTTCCGGGACGCATGCGGACGGTCCCACTGGCGGCTTCGGTGGAACCCCCTATGGGGTCACGAAGCGCTGCACTGCGCGGGTGAACATGCCAAATTACATTTCCCGGACGCATGCGGACGGTGGCACTGGGGCCTTGGATAGAGCCCCCTATGGGGCCACGAAACGCTGCACTGGGTGGGTGAAAATGCCAAATTGGGCTTCCGGGACGCACACGGGCGGGGGCACTGCGGCCTTCGGTGGAGCTCACTATGGGGCCATGAAACGTTGTACTGGGTGTGCGGGACGCGTGCGGGCGGTAGCGCTGGGACCTTCGGTGGGGCTCCCTATGGGGCCACGAAGCGCTCTGTACTGGGCGTGCGGGACGCATGCGGACAGTAGCACTGGGACCTTCGGTGGGGCTCACTATGGGGCCACGAAACGTTGTACTGGGTGGGCGAAACGCAAGGAGGAGCGGGAGGAGGGCCACGACACGCTGTACTGGGTGTGCGGGGCGCGTGCGGACGTTAGCACTGGCACTTTCGGTGGGGCTCCCTATGGGGCCACGAAGTGATGTACTGGGTGTGCGGGACGCATGCGGACGGTAGCACTGGGACCTTCGGTGGGGCTCCCTATGGGGCCACGAAACGCTGTACTGGATGTGTGAAACCCAGGGAGGAGGGGGAGGAGGGCCACCAAACGCTGTACTGGGTGTGCGGGACGCATGCGGACGCTAGCTTTGGGACCTGCGGTGGAGCTCCTTATGGGGCCACGAAGCGCTGTATCGGGTGTGCGGGACGCATGCGGACGGTAGCACTGGGACCTTCGGTGGGGCTCCCTATGGGGCCACGAAGCGCTGTACTGGGTGTGCGGGACGCAGGCGGACGATAGTACTGGGACCTTCAGTGTGGTTCCCTATGGGGCCACGAAGCGCTGTACTGGGTGGGTGAAACGCAGGGAGGAAGGGGAGGAGGGTCACGAAACGCTGTACTGGGTGTGCGGGGCGCATGCGGACGGTAGCACTGGGACCTTCGGTGGGGCTCCCTATGGGGTCACGAAGCGCTGTACTGGGTGCGCGGGACGCATGCGGATGGTAGCACTGGTACCTTCGGTGGGGCTCCCTATGGGGCCACGAAGCGCTGTACTGGATGTGTGAAACCCAGGGAGGAAGGGGAGGAGGGCCACGACACGCTGTACTGAGTGTGCGGGACGCGTGCGGACGGTAGCGCTGGGACTTTCGGTGGGGCTCCCTATGGGGCCACGAAGCGCTCTGTACTGGGTGTGCGGGGCGCATGCGGACGGTAGCACTGGGACCTTCGGTGGGGCTCCCTCTGGGGCCACGAAGCGCTGTACTGGGTGTGCGGGACGCATGCGGACGGTAGCATTGGGACCTTCGGTGGGGCTCCCTATGGGGCCACGAAGCGCTGTAGTGGGTGGGTGAAACGCAGGGAGGAGGGGAAGGAGGGCCACGACACGCTGTACTGAGTGTGCGGGACGCATGCGGACGGTAGCACTGGGACCTCTGGTGGGGCTCCCTGTGGGGCCGCGAAACGTGTGAGGGGTGTGCTGAAACGGGTGATGATGATGATGGTGCTGGGGGAGGGAGGAGGGGGAGGAGGACGGACCCAGATAGAAGAGCGCGCCGAGTTCGGGTGACGGACAAAGCGGAGCGATGGAAAAGGAGAGAAGCACAACTCTCAATCAGCAGAGACCGACGACGAGGGCTTACGACCCGCGGGGTCGTTATTTTAAAATTATTCTGGAGAAGGTCCCGACCAGATGCAGTTGTGGGTACCGTAATTGTGAATATCTGCGTCGGTGAAGATCCCTATGAGGCCACGAAGCGCTGCACTGGGCGGGGGGGAACGCTGTATTGTGTGGGGTGTGTGTCGAATTGGATTTCCGGGGCACATGCGGGCGGTCCCACTGAGGGTTTCGGTGGAGCTCCCTATGGGGCCACGAAGCGCTCTACTGAGTGAGTGAAAATGCCAAATTGGGTTTCCGGGGCGCATGCGGACGGTCTCACTGGGGGCTTCGGTGGAGCTCCCTATGGGGCCACGAAGCGCTGCACTGGGTGGGTGAAAATGCCAAATTGAGCTTCGGGGACGCATACGGACGGGGGCACTGGGGCCTTGGGTGGAACCCCTTTGGGGCCACGAAACGTTGCACTGGGTGGGTGACAATGCCAAATTGAGCTTCCGGGACGCATGCGGACGGGGGCACTGGAGCCTTCGTTGGAGCTCCCTATGAGGCCACGAAGCGCTGTACTGGGTGTGCGGGGCGCATGCGGACGGTAGCGCTGGGACCTTCGGTGGGGCTCCCTATGGGGCCACGAAGCGCTGTACTGGGTATGCGGGACGCCTGCGGACGGTAGCACTGGGACCTTCGGTGGGGCTCCCTATGGGGCCACGAAGCGCTGTACTGGATGTGTGAAACGCAGGGAGGAGGGGGAGGAGGGCCACGAAACGCTTTACTGGGTGTGCGGGACGGATGCGGACGGTAGCACTGGGACCGTCGGTGGAGTTCTCTATGGCCACGAAGCGCTGTATTGGGTGTGCGGGACGCATGCGGACGGTAGCTTTGGGACCTTCGGTGGGGCTCCCTATGGGGCCACGAAACGGTGTACTGGGTGGGTGGAACGCAAGGAGGAGGGGGAGGAGGGCCCCGAAACGCTGTACTGGGTGTGCGGGACGCATGCGGACGGTAGCGCTGGGACCTTCGGTAAAGCTCCCTATGGGGCCAAGAAGCGCTGCACAGGGTGTGCGGGACGCATGCGGGCGGTAGCACTGGGACCTTCGGTGGGCCCCCTATGGGGCCACGAAGTGCTGTACTGGGTGGGTGGAACGCATGGAGGAGGGGGAGGAGAGCCCCGAAACGCTGTACTGGGTGTGCGGGACGCATGCGGACGGTAGCACTGGGACCTTCGGTGGGGCTCCCTATGGGGCCACGAAACGCTGTAGTGGGTGTGCGGGACGCATGCGGGCGGTAGCACTGGGACATTCGGCGGGGCCCCCCTATGGGGCCACGAAGCGCTGTACTGGGTGGGCGAAACGCAGGGATGAGGGGGAGGAGGGCCACGAAACGCTGTACTGGGTGTGCGGAACACATGCGGACGGTAGCGCTAGGACCTTCGGGGGGGGCTCCTTATGGGGCCACGAAACGTTGTAGTGGATGTGTGAAACGCAAGGAGGAGGGGGAGGGAGGCCACGAAACGCTGTACTGTGTGTGGTGGGGCTCCCTATGGGGCCACGAAGTGATGTACTGGGTGGGACGTAGCACTGGGACCTTCGGTGGGGCTCCCTATGGGGCCACGAAGCGCTGTAGTGGGTGGGTGAAACGCAGGGAGGAGGGGGAGGAGGGCCACGAAACGCTGTACTGGGCTTGCGGGGCGCATGCGGACGGTAGCACTGAGACCATCGGTGGAGCTCCCTATGGGGCCACGAAGCGGTGTACTGGGTGTGCGGGGCGCATGCGGCTCCCTATGGGGCCACGAAGCGCTGTAGTGGGTGGGTGAAACGCAGGGAGGAGGGGAGGAGGGCCACGAAACGCTGTACTGGGTGTGCGGGACGCATGCGGACGGTAGCACTGGGACCTTCGGTGGAGCTCCCTGTAGGGCCACGGAACGCTGTACTGGGTGTGCGGGACGCATGCGGACGGTAGCACTGGGACCTTCGGTGGGGCTCCCTATGGGGCCAAGAAGCGCTGTAGTGGGTGGGTGAAGCGCAGGGAGGAGGGGGAGGAGGGCCACGAAACGCTGTACTGGGTGTGCGGGACGCATGCGGACGGTAGCACTGAGACCATCGGTGGAGCTCCTTATGGGGCCACGAAGCGCTGTACTGGGTGGGTGGTGGAGCTCCCTATGGGGCCACGAAGCGCTGTACTGGGTGTGCGGGACGCATGCGGACGGTATCACTGGGAACTTCGGTGGGGCTCCCTATGGGGCCACGAAGCGC